TGTGTGTGTGAGTGAGTGTGAGGGTTTTGGTGTTGAAGGGACTAACTCCAGTCTTGGAGCGGTCCATCCCAGTGTTTTTATGCTAATGTCGTTTTTGTCATAGCTTAGAGGACAGGTGCTACTTTTCAACCACAGCTTGGCATAGAAGAAGAAGAAGAAGAAGAAGAAGAAGAAGAAGAAGAAGAAGACATGCCATCTTTTTCCTTTATCTCACTTTCTTTTTCTCTTTCGGCTGTCCCTTAAATACCTTATCACCTTTCCACATAGAGCCAATAATATTCCCTTAAACTTTATGACACACTCAAACGCAAACACATATGTACACAGGCAAGAGAAGGGGGGTATCTCTCTCTCTTGATGCCGTCTGCACCCCCCTTCAAACACCCCCCGCAGCCCCCATACTATCCCCTCTCCTCTATGTAGCACCACAGATGCCCATGTTGCCCTGCAACAGCTGTCTCACCATGTGCCCTACCAAGTGTTGCCACCCAATGGAGGGGAGAGGAAGTGAGGAGGAGGGAGGATTTGGGTGGGGAGGGAGTAAGGGAGGGTGCTGAATTTGGATGGGAGGGACAGGGTCATGAATATTATTATTTTTTTATTTCTTTTGTCATCCTAAAAAGGAGCTGTCGTTGTCTACGTGGTCATCGTGTTTCTTGCTTTGTCTTAACTATCAATGTATAATCATACAATAATTTTTACTGCATCCACACACTCTCAGTATTTCTGTCCCTCTCGGCCTCTCTCATTTGGTTCTGCATTCGGTTGAGGTGATGGCCAGCGCCCATGTTTCCCCCCCCGGTCACAGGAAGCCCCTGGAAGCAGAGCAGAGAAGGAGGGAACGTCAGTCAGGAGGCGCCTTACTATTGGTGCAGCAGGTTAGCGACACTCGTGGTGACCAATGACCAGAAGAAGGGTGCATAGTAACAGCAGGGCATGGAGAGAGGGTATTTTCAAATGCAAACACTGGTCCAAAAAGTCAGGTGCAGGATCCAGGCTCGATCCAGTGACAGAACAAAATGGAGGGCTGGGATGGTGTGCCGCCATTTTGGGGCAAAATATTTTGAGTATGCATGCCATGTCTCCTTATTAAGCAGAAATAAGCAGTTAAGACTGCAGTGCAAAGCTGTGGTGACAAAATGACCCTGAGCATTAGTGTTTGTTTGCAAAAAATTCAACAGCACACAACTAATGAATAATTAATAGTACTTTTTTTTTTTTTGCTAGAACACAATGTGATTTAAAGGTGCCACAGTCCCTACTAAGCCACTCTAAATATTCTGCTAATTACTGAAAGTTCTTTCAAAGACAGACATCTGTGCTCACAGAGGAAGCCATACCTGTGACTTTCTTTTTTATTTTGAATTTGGAAAAGTAGAGCAATGATGGCACAAAAGATGCCAGGACAGATGGATCCAAGTGTAGAGTACCATCCCAGAAACTGATGCCATATACTTGTCCCCTGTGGTCTTTACTGCATGCTAAATAAATGCAGTTGAGAGCCTGAGACGCCCAATAAAAGAAAACTAATAAAAAAGTATACAAAAAAGTACGAGAGGAGTTGGGAGTGTATTTGCTCCTTGTGTATTTGTTCATTTAATTTTGAAGGGATGAAAGCAGACAGGCATAAAGAGGGGCAGACGTAGAGAGATCACAGCATCGTGTACCGTATTGGTGGGTAGTGTGCCACACAGTCTGCCTCCTAAAGCAATAAATCTGAAACAGCATAATAGATAAACGCAATTCAGAACACAAAATACCCTGCGAGGGAAAACTAATAAAAAACTGAGTGATTAAGTGGAATCAGAGCTCTTAGGCAGTATCTGGAGATGGGAGCTGTCGCCATACAAAGACCAGAGCGGGCCAACACAACAGATGAGAGAGCATAGGGACGGGGGGCCGAGAAAACGAGGGCTAAAAGCAGAGGGAGCGAGAGACAGATGATGGAAGCGAGGGATGGAGGAGAGAGAGAAAAAGTGAGGGATGGACGGGGCAGCAGATCAGAGGGAGCCTCTAGTGTGTCTTGCTCTCCCTTTAAAGAAGAGCCAGGAAAACAGATTAGGAGTCCTCTTTTCTCCTGGGGGAGCACACACACACACGCACACACACACACACACACACACAACCTCCATTCAACCGCCCTCCTCCTCTTCACACAAACATACAACTAACTAACTTTTACACCACTGACCTGCCCGGCCCAGAACAAATCCACTCGGTGCTGAAGTCGTCCCCGCTGACAGAGAGGGCGGAGACGAGGAGACACAATGACAGCCTGTGTGTGCTGCAGTTCAGATGACCTCACATCAGGTCACGTTTGCTAACTGTTTAGGACACAAAGAGGAATGATGTCAGGGAGTATCTGCCTGCTTCAGAGAGATGTGCACACACACAGACACAAATACAGACCGCAGTGTGTCATTGTGCCCTTGAAAGAAGGTTGTGTGTTTAATATTTTTTAATAATAATAATAATAATGATAACAATAATAATAATAGGGTTGCAACTAACAATTATCTTCATTAACAATTAATCTGTTATTTTCTAAATTAATCAATTATTCATTTAGTATATGAATTGTGCAAAACAAAGGTCAAACATGCCCAACACATTTTCTCAGAATCTTCTTTTGTCTGATCAACAATCCAAAACCCAAAGATATTCAATTTACTAAAGAAAAAACAGCAAATAATCTCAAAGCAGGAGCTGAAACAGCAAATGTTTTGTCAGTTTTGCTTAAAAAATGACACTGACAAATGGCAGAATAATTTTTAATCAATAAATCAACAAATATTTCAGCTCTAATAATATTAAAACACTAGTTTTGTTTGTAATCCACATTTCTTCCAATAAAACATTTCTGATTCAAAACGGAGCTTGTGCTTTATCAGTTGAACTGCGTGTGTGTGTGTCGTGTGTGTTATCAAAGCTGAGCCTAATGTCAGCCGTTGATAAACCACTGCAGTGACGAAAACCCAAAGACAATTCTGCACACGTTACACACGTCTCGGCCAAATTCTTGGAAAGGTGAGGTCTCTCTTCAGAAACACAAACGTCTCCTGTAGTCTTCACGTCACACTCTCCGGATGTTGCAGGTTTGACTCTGGCTCATAATCTTTGTCCCTGACCTGAGACGTGAGAAGCTTCACAAAGAGTTAAAACCACAGAAGAAGTACTTAGATCCTTTACTTAAGTAAAAGTTTTCCAATGTAACAATACTTAATTACTAGTAAAAGTCTTGCATTCAAAACCTTATTTAAGTGAAGTATAATAAGCAAAATGTACTCTAACTGTCAAAGTTTAATTCAGATGAATGACCCCTTTTCCTTTTAGTGTTTTATTGTTATGTTTTATATTATTGGATTATTAACATAACATATTAACAGCATTTTAATGTTGCAAATGGTCAAAATCGAGATAGTTTTAATTACTTTATGTACTGTTGTGTAGCTTAATTTATAATCAAATGATTGTATAAAAACTATTCTATGTTGAAAAATGAATATGTTGTATCGAAAATACAATATTAAACCGCAAGTAAAAAGTGACCAAATCTGTCAAATAAATATATTAAAAAGTACAACATTTCCCTCTTAAATGTGGAGTGTAAGCACAATAACATGGAAATACTCAAGTAAAATAAAAGTACAACATAAATGTGATCATAAATATTTTCCACATAATTAGATTGGACATACAAGGGGTGTGTGTAAATGAATTGTTTATTTTTATTGCTGATTAACTTAGATATTGAAATTATTTTTTTCCTGACATTGTCAGACAATAATTGACAAAAAACCCAACTCAGTCCTCAAAAAAAGCATCACACGTCCTTTATGACTTTATTCAGGAATGCATTATAGATCGCCTTTCAGGTGGAAGGAAGTTTGGTTTTATTCCAGCAGCCATTTGACTTGTGGACAGTTGTGGTACAATACTATAGACTGATAAATGCACTTACAGTTTTTGATATAATGTGCCTTTTGTGATGCTGGATATTTAATTTCCTTCCACTAAACACTCCTTGAAAGAAAGGAGATGACCTTTTATTTTCTAGTCTAAAATCATTTTTTTTATTATTAAAGTGCAATCCCCTTTTACTTATCAGAATATGTGTTTGTGTTATGGGGGTCATTGTTCCAGAAGGCGGATGCTACAGCCTGTAATGAAAACATATATTGTTCGGGAGATCCCTGGTGGTCTAAGGCTCAGACCATGATCACAAGTTCCCTGGTCAAATCTGGATGGGGACATTAACTGCATGTCACACTCTCTTGTCAATGTTCTGTCAACCTCTGCTGTCAAGTGAATTAAAAGCCCAAAAAGCCCAAAAGAAAACAATCTTAAGAAAATAACGGATTGTTAATGTCTGTCTTTGACCTCTGCAGATGATTTCAGCATCACTTGGGATCATTTTAGAGGCCTTAATTCTTAAGCGTTTCATAAAATGAAACACAATTAGACCTATATTATTGTATACCTCAGCGGGAAAACTCTCCTGGAGGAAACTGCAGCTGCTTCAAAATCTGTAGGTTAAAAAGTCTCCATGACTCTGTAGAGGGAATGTGCTCGGCTGGCAGCAGCAATGTGAACATACTCCACCCTCCATCCCATTCTCCTGTGCCAGGGCCGGGCATTCCTCTCCCCTCCAATGGCCGGTTAGTGCCCACTCTTTTTCTCTTTCTTTCTGTTGCACACAAGCACACACAGACTTACTCCCTTTTTGTCCCTATGCAACTACTTCAAACCCAACTATTTCCTTCCTTCCTTACTTGCCACATACATTTCTTCATTTCCTCTTTGCAGCAATCCCATCCTTCATTTCTCTTCCTTCCTTCCATCTTTTTTTTTCCTTCAACAACCCTCCATCTCTGTGGCTCTCTCTCTCTCTCTCTCTCTCTCTCTCTCTCTCTTTCTCTCTCTCCCTCAGCTGCTCTCTC